CCTGGAAACCCATGTACCCATGCCAGCTGGAAGCAGGTATCTGGGATTTATTTATCTTCTATGATTGAAACTTTGTAGCCTTGAGCAGAGCCCAGGGCTGGCCAAGGCAGGTGGGAAGCTTGGCTTCCTCCATCACTGGGGGCAACCCAAGCCTCCTGCTCACTCCAGCTCCATGACTGCTGCCATCTTAGTTGGGTTAATTTGCATACTGGCTCCTGATTGGCTGGTGGGCATGGCTTGAGTGTAGCAGGGGGATGGTTAATTTGTATGTTTCTCATTTATTATATAGGATTATTCCCACTTTGAGGCTCCACCGTCATAACCTAATCACTTCCCAAAGTATGATCATTATCTTGGGCAACAGGATTTTAACATATAAATTTTGGGGGGAAAGAAATATTCAGAGCACAGCAAAGGAGAAGAGCTAGGAGCAAAAAAGCATTGAGTCAGAGTGGAGAAAAATACTATGGCCAAGGCCTCCAAAAAGAGGTCTCAGCAGAGGTGCCTCAGCCAAAGCCCCCCAAGAGAAGCCTCCAAATGAAGTTGCCTGGACTTGGAATGCAAGTACGCATGTGAGCATGCCCAGGGGCAGGTGGCCTGAGCATTGCCTGCAAGCCCCCTTGAGAAGGCTGCAGTTCACTGGCTGTCTACGGAATCTGGTATGGAGAAGGCAGATTTCCCCAATGGAGCCCGCCAGATAAAAGCCATACAAATGTCAATGGTCAGGTCTAAAAGTTCACACATAAGATTTCGGCCTGGAGCCGGATTCCTCATAAAGAATTCTTACAACTCAACAACAGAAAGAAAAACAACCCAATTAACAATGGGCAAAGGGCTTGAATAGATATTTCTCCAAAGACAAACAAATGGCCAACAAACTTATGAAAAGATGTTCAACATCATTAGTTCACAATGAGATAAAGTTCCAAATTCTTTAGAAAAGCTATAACCAAAAAATGGAAAATAAACGTTGGTGAGCACACAGAGAAATGAGAACGCTTGTACATTGCTGGTGGGAAGGTAAAATAGTGCAGCTGCTTTGAAAACAGGAAGTTCCTCAAAAGTTAAACACAGAATTACCATCTGACCTAGGACTTCTACTCGTAGGTACACACCATTCTCAAACTATAAAGAACTGAAAGAATTAAACAAAGGCAACACTATTCACACTAGTTTCAAAGTGGAAACAACCCAGATGTCCAACAACAGATGAATGGATCAACCAAATGTGATTATACATACAAGGGAATATTATTCAGCCTTTAAAAGGAATGAAGTGCTGATATATCTACAATGAGATGCATCTCGGAAACACCATGCTAAGTGAACAAAACCAGACACAAAGGGTCATATGTTGTATGATTCAACTGACAAGAAACACCCAGAATGAATAACTCCATAGAGAAAGAAAGCAGCTTAGTGGTTGCTAGGGTTTGGGGCCAGGAGGGGAGAACAGAGAATAACTACTTAATGGATATGGAATTTCCTACTGGGGTGATGGAAATGTCTTGGAACTAGACAGAGGTGACAGCTGCAAAACTGAACGAATGCTCTCAATGACACTGAATTGCACACTTTACAATGGTTGTTAATTTTGTTATCTGAGTATTACTCCAATTTAAAAAAAGAAAAAAAGTATATACTTTTGTATTATCTTCTTTCACAAATAATATAGTCAAATGTACTACAAAGTATTATTGCATCTATAGACACAAAAATAATGCAATTCTTTTCTAATTAAGAGAGAAACATCAAAGGTCTAAATTTGAATTCTAGATTATTTTTTTCTAAGGCTTTTTCTGTCTGAGGTTTCTTGGACAGACCAGGTCATTAATTTAACACAGGGGTTCTCAAACTTGACCATGCCCTGGACGGACTGTCACACAGATGGCTGGGCGCCAACCCCAGAGTTTCTGATCCAAGAGGTCTGGGGTGGAGCCTCAGAGTTGGCATTTCTTGCAAGTTCTAAGGTGATGCTGACACTCAGGTCCTGGACCCACAGTTAAGACAACTACAGCTCGAATGTAAACTTGAAGACACTACCAGGGACCTGGTTCCTGGAGCAGGAAAGCAGTCATTCCTGAAAGCACTTGACAGCAAAAGCAAGCTTCTGATATACAGCCATCTTAGGTAGTAAACTG